TTTATCATTTTAAAATATCTTTCCTGTTCAATCCCCAGTTCCACCACAAAAAAAAAATCTTTTCTGGAGTACAATATTATAAGTGAAAAGTATAATGTTATTATTATTATTAGTCTTTTTGAGGTAGGCTTTCATGAAGTGGTTCAGGCTGGTCTTGAGTTCACTATGTAACCACGCTGGCCTCAGACTCCCAGTGATCCTCCACCTTCAGCCTCTTGAGTGTTGGCATTACAGGTGTGTGTCACCACATCTGGTCTCATAATTCGTTATTAAATATGGTAGATACTCAACTATTTTCTTCTGTTGATCTGCCTATGTCCTTGCAATGTACCCTCCCTCATGTCGAGCACCCCCACTTCAGCTGAGCAGCCACACTCATCCCCCTGTAGCTGTCGCACACTCAGTCCCTGTCTTCCTGCTTACCGTGTGGGCTCTGCTCAGTGGGGCATTATCAAGGCTGAGGTTGGCTAAAGTTCAGCAATAATGTTCCTTCCTTACAAGATTCTGCTCTGAGTCGGTCTTAAAGTAGAGCGCCATCAAAACACAGACACACCATTTGCAGTGCCAGGCCTGGCACGGTTAGACTGTCTTGAGGCTCCTCTCACGCTAGGATACGTTAATCATAAAACTCTGAGGATGCAGGTGGTCCCATGTGTGTATCGTGCATGAACCAAGGATAGGGAAAAGGCTCAGTTTCAACTCAGTGAGCAGAAGAAACGGGCAGTGGCATCTGCTCCATCTCCACTCCATTCTGGCCTATTTCAAGGACTTTTACCAAAGGAGCTCGCTATCCTCCCTAGCTGAATCCGTAGGAACACGAAAGTTTTACCTTTGGTGCCAACTGCCTGTGCTTCAGTCCTTGCTTCCACTTTGTAATGGTGTAGTTATTTTACAGTCTCAGCCTTGTGTGGCGTTAGTACAGCCAGCACACTAATAAGAACAGGCAGAAAACCTGGCAAGTGGGGTTGTATAAACACTGTAGAGAGCCGGAAATCAGAAGGAACTCGAAATAACAAGTGATGCTGAACGCACAAAGGACCAACTTACACCTGTATCATTTCATACATTTCTTATGTTGAGTTAAAACAGTTTATTAATTACTACAAGGTGTACTTAATATGGTAACTACAAGTCATGGAAAGATGTATACTTGGGTATAGCTGTATAGCTTCTGACGGTTCGCTTTTTGGAATTTTTAGGGTTTTTATTGAATCTATCCTGTCATATTAAGTGAGCTAACATAGTGCAATGAGAAAAGGGAGTCAAGCCCAGCTCTTCCTCCTGTTTCTGTCACTTTCTCTCATCAGGAACAGTTGCCCCTGGGGACATCTCACGAGGGAGAGATAACTGGAGGTGTACCTAAGGGAGACAAAATGTACAGCTGCCGCCAGGTAAATCACACTACTGAAGTGGAAAGGGATAGAATGTGACCCCGGATGTAATTTACTTCTAAATGTCTTGAGCAGCATGTCCCCATCGCAGTGTCTTTAGGAAAAAATACAAACCGCATCCTCGGCTAGGGAACTTCCAGAACAACAAAGGGTGTCACTGGACCCACAGTGCCCGGAGGGAGGCCTGCGGCTCTGGGGTGGAGGACAGGACAGGCCTCAGTGTCCGCAGCACAGGGGTTTGGGTTTGGTGACTGGAGGGTGGGATTTACGTTCATTTAGCTGCATGGCGGGTGCCCGGGTTCCAGTGCCCGGTGTCCGGTGTCCGGAGGACCCGCGTTGGGCTCTGGCTCCCGATTGATCCAGCTCCTGCACCATCCCTCACGGGTCTGCCCAGCCCAACCAGCGCACTAAAGGAACTGCTTGTGCGCGAGGATTTGTCTAAACTTTGGAATGAACGCATCTCCCAGATGAAGAAAGCCACTGTCCTCGCAGTAGGATCGGGGAGCTGCGGCCCGGGGGCCTAGTGGTCTCTGCACCCGGCTGGTCGCGGCCCCGCGGAGCCCCATCCATCCCGCCGCGCCTTCGGGTGTCCCCGGTGTCCCCTCTGGTGGGTAATCGGCACGGCGCCCGTCCCGGCGCTTAGCAGGGTGGGGGCCCGCCGCTCGCTCGGCTGAGTCTTCCCCGGGTCGCGGGCCGAGGACCTCCTGTCTCCCAGAGGCTGCCCGGGCCAGCGGCGCCCAGTGCGAGAGCACCGCCGAGGGCCTGGAGCTCCCTTGGGCACGCAGCCGGGGGGAGGGGAGGCGGGGCGGGGTCACAGCGAGCCCCGCCCCGGGCCCGCCCACGGCGCCTGGGCTGGGGCGCA